GTAAATAAGGGCGGGGGGGGAACCAGCCCCAGAGAGGGGGGGCCACGAGGAAGAAATCCCAGCTTGCAACTGAGGGCGAGCTGCTAGAGACGTGCAGTGACCCATGAAAGCTCTGCAGGGGTTTGAGGGACGCAGGAGGAGGGGACCTACAGCTCGAGGCTCACAGGAGGTACAAGCCTCAGGTTTATTCCCTGTGCCCAACTCAGCGCTGCTCTTGCTTTGTGTGAAGTGCAGACATGAGGACAGCATTTGCAGTTTTCCAGGCTCACAGCATCCCGGTGATGCTGCCATCCGGGCAGGGCCGTTTGGTCGTGCTGGGCAGATCATAGCAAAGGCAGTGAGTCCAGCAGGGACCAAGGTTCACCAAGGTGGTCCAGCCTGGACCAAGGTCTTCTCTGCCCGGATGGAGACACACAGGAGAGGCAAAAGAAATAAAGCCAAGCTCATGGCTCATGTGTTGCAAATCACAGCCCTTTTTGCTCACTGGGACGGGGCTGAGATGTCGGAGAGCAAACAGCACCCATGGTGTTTCACCTCCGCGGGTGAAGCCACCCCAGGACCACCCACCACCCTGGGGAACGATGTTGTCCGCTCACCACCCGCCCCACTGGTACCACCGCATCCCTCTCAGCCCTTACCCAGTGGGATGTCCAGCACAGCAAGTCCCAGCAGCAGCAGGGACAGCCCTCCTTCCTGCCCAGCCATCTCCAGAGCCAGCGACCCCACTCCCCGCGTGGGGACAGGTCCCTGCACCCGAGGGCGAAGGCCGAGGGGACGGTGCCAGCGGGGAACTACGCTGTCGAGCGACGGCTGAAGGTGACCGGAGCTGCTTCCTCGTTCCGGGGTGGGAGCGTGCTCATTTCGACTCCAAACGAGCTGACGGCCGGGGCTGTGCTGGTCCCCACAGACGCGACGACGGTCGTCTCAGCACAGTTGGATGTCGTGGCCACGGGGGTTGGGGTCGGGGTGCTGGTGGTGAGCCCCAGCTCTGCTGTGGTGGCGTTAGGTGGTGCTGGGGTGCCGGTGGGTGACCCAGGCGTGCCGAGGGTTGAGCTGCTCCTCGCCTGCGGCGTGGGGATGCTGGAGGCTGCCGGGCTGCTCCCCCAAGGCCTTGCAGCACTGGCTGTGAAGGCGTCGGTCGGCACCTCCACGGTGGAGGTTTCAGGACTGGAGGGAGGGACGGTGGCTGCGGTGGTGGAGGGGGTGGTGGGCAGCAGTGTCGAGCTCTCTGTGGGCGTTGGGGAGGCAGGGAGAGTTGGGGACATGGTGACTGTCACATCCATCATGGTGGTCCCTGCAAAGAGGTGGCAGAGTGAGGCATGCAAGGGCTGATCATGCCCTTACCTTCCAGGCACCCCACAGCTGCACCCACCTGTGGCTGCACTGGGGGTCCCGGGTACTGTCGGGGTGCCTGGGGTTGGCCCCGTGGTTGGGGTGGAGATGCCAGGGGTGGTCCCAGATGTGGTCCTAGCCGGCTGGCTGGGAGTGGGCGTGCTCCCGGAAACCCTTGTGCTGGTGTCAGAGGTGGCCGTGGTGTCCGCTGGGGTCCACAAGGTCTCGGCCGAAGCGGCTGTCGGTGCTGGTGTGGTGGGAGGAGGCACAGTGGGAGAAGAGGCGCTGCCAGTCCCCAGAGATGTGCTGGACCTCTCCGGGGTGGAGGCTCCTGTTTCAG